TTTGTACATCACAAATCTAAGCTTACGATATGTACAATCAACACAGAAAGTACATTAAAGTTAAATTAAATAAACGCAACTCAGAAAAGATAAATCCGATTTGTGTAAGTACCTATGTTAATATATCAAGTCTATTATGCTGACATTAAAGACTGATAACAATTCGGTTGCACAAATTCGACTTTTTGTTTTAATATTGTCAAACTGAATACAATTTTGATAAAAAGAATAAACTGACTAACTGACTATAGTATAATAAATAAAAATATATAAGATATCTCACTCACCAATTAAAGATGCTAAAGCACTTTTATTATGGAAAACTAAAAGATCGATAGTAACACAACACCCAAACAGACCCTAGATTAATAAAAATTGTTCATTAAGTTCAGTTTAGTTTATTAGTGGTACGACAGAATTGGCACCTATCTTATTCATTACATTTATGTTATACTATACAAGTTAATATAATTTATAACGTACTATAAATAGTAGTGAGTAATGAAAAAATAATAGAAATATATTTTGCAAATTTATAATTTACCACATTTGATATTTTACATATCTTTTTCTCATTGTTTTATTTGATTAATTTTACATTCACAAATTTATATTCTTATTTCTTAATAAGCAAAAAGTGCCATTAAGTATTTTGTATACAATGAAACAGGTACCTAATCAAATTATAGCTCAATAAGAGTGGCACAAAGTTTATGACAAATATCTTAAAACTATAATAAAAAACACGAATAAATGAAAGACTTCAAAGTTTAGTTGGATCGATCCTACAATCCGAATTGTTTATTTTTCTATATAATGTTAAATGTAGGCAAAATACTTCCGGAATGTTGAGGCTAATAACTAACGGAGCGATTTTCATCCGCAACCGACAAGGAGGGCGGGAGACTGTTATTGTTTAACTACATAACCACGGCTTTTTTCTTTTTCCGGTACCGTCCCGGTTGCGAGAATGCCCGCAAACTTATCCGGAAAAATCGCAAAAGGAATTAATATTACAATTATTTGATGATTGATCTATAGAGAGATGCTTTACATGCAAACAAAATATTTAGTACAAACTAAATTTTAACACATAAATATTTCTAATAACATTAAGACAGCTATTTATACATTTTTATTAGGTCCTTACATATGAAATTGGTGTTTGGTATGGGAGGCATTTAAAAGTCGAAAATTTTTTAATACAATATATTTTATTTTATCAAAGTATAACCGTTGTTATCTATGCACTTTTGCCATTTTATATATATAGGTAGTTCATTGATCCCCTTACTAAAAAAACCATTCGGACAGGAATCAATATAATTTTTGAAGGCGATTTGCACTGCCCCATCGGAGTTGATTTTTTCCCTTGCAAGAAATTATCCAAATTTCGAAAAAACGGTCATCTGTTGGAGGAAGGTCCGGGAGCACGGTGGATGTCTAAGACATTCCAATTGAAGCTCTTCTAATTTGGTAGCTGTCTGTTGTGCACTTGCGTAGAGCGATTGCTCAGCCTCGGTTGTTTCACAGCTGGTTTTTCCAGCATGGTTTGCAATTGCTGACAATAGACGTCTGCCGTGGTCGTCTGGCCAGATTTGAGAAAACTGTAATGAATGACACCGGCACTAGTCCACCAAACACAAGTAACTCTTTTGGGGTCAATTTACGCTTGGGGCAGGATTAGGCGGGCATGCCAAAGTCCAACCATTGCGATGAGCGCTTCCGATTATCGTAGAGAATCCACTTTTCATCACAGATAATGATTCGATTTAAAAACCGTTAATTATTGTGCCGATTAAGTAATGTAACGCAGCAGTCGAAGCGTGTTTGTTAGTTTGCTTCACTCAATTCGTGAGGTACCAACCTCTCAAGCTTTTTAATCCAAAAACGCAGTGAATGATGGAACCAGAAACGCACTGTTTTTTCTTTTGCGACACAACATCATTGGCCACACACATCACAACCCTTCGAGCCGTTTCCACAGCACTGGTACCACGGTGGAACTCGTACTCGTAAGTAACACGATATTTCAAGTTTTCTATTTTTTATACTGGGTGACGTAAATAGGACAAACAGAATTATTAAAAAACAAATGAATGCCGCCTAACTAAACACAAATACATGTATAAATGGCTGTATAAATTTGAATTTGGAATGGAGGAGAAATTTGTGATTTGGCCACTTTAATATACGATAAAACGCCAATTTCATATGTAAGGACCTAATATTTATGCAAAACAGCTTAAATAAACAAAGTATACTCACAGAAATTATAATACTCTTAATAATATTTTTAATCAAGATGTTTAAATACTAGATTTTCCTCATTTCACTGTAGTACAGTTATTTATCCTCAAATGGTGCCCCCTTGTTTCGCAGAAAAAATAAATTCATAGAATTTTGTTTTACAGAAAATTTTGTTTCAAATACTATTTACTCAAGATATATTTCATTGTATCACTCAGGAAACATATTTCACGAAATTATTATAAAATGAATTTTATAAATCTCGTTTTATCATTGAACAACTTCATCACACAGTAGAATTATTTCAACGAATATTTATTTGTTCGCTGTATTTTCATATGGTCAATTAATTTCAACAAAAAATGAAAACTAATCAGAAACCATTAGAAACGAAACTGTTACCAAAGTAGTAAGTTAGGTTCGGTTACAACTGCGACTCCAATTGAAAACTAATCGCTGCCAGAAACAATCCGCTACAAGAACAGTAGATTAGGCTATGTTAGAACCAACAGAAATTATATTATAGGATGGTCTGAATTTGTAATAGATATGAATTGAAACTCTAACTAAACAAAAGAGGATAAACAATATTTGACTTTTTTATTCTATGATAGGAATATCGAAACGATATTTTTTATTTATAAATCAATAATCTAGTTTTATTTAAAACTACTATTCTGCGTATTTGTTATTCTATGATATGAAATATTTATGTGAAACGAAATTCAAACAAATTATTGTGTATAAAACAACATACAAACATCATCATACATCACATTTGGCACATATGTGATTCAACAAAATAAATTAACTTTCCATTCGGTATAATGCGGCATACAAAGACCAATATGCCGCGGTGAACAATCATGATCATTGTATGCACAGAAAGTAACGATACGATATAGTAAGCCCACTGCACCGGGTCAACCCAGTGCTATGCCCGTATGTAAAAGGTCAGTCTCTATTACGGTTATTAGTATTAATATACCTTGTAGTGGGCTGAAATCCTATCGAATGTCTTTCGGAACACTTTAATAAAAATAATAAATAATTAAACGACTCTTTTTTTAATTAATTTATAATACAGATGTATATTATTTCATTTATTCACTTAAAACAAATTACTTGAATATTTTTAATAATTTACAAATCAGTTTAAACAAACTCATGATATTTTATAAACTGGTTTCAAGTAAACCAAAGGCATAGGCCAAATAACTACTAATGACCAAATTAATAATATGTTATTATTATACGTAAGAATTATGTGACCCGTTCTATTCATAAAATTATTTTTTTCTTACTCTACGCCGTAAATAACTATCAACTGGATTTTTAAGGAGCTAAATATCTTTTTTGTTAAATTCTATATTTTCTTTATACAAACCATAATGCCACAAAGTACTATTTTTACTATATAAATATTATATATTTTTAAATTAATGTATCAGTGATCAGAGTCGGTGAATTGATTGAATTGGGGCATTGATCTGTAACATATACATTAATATGGACATACCTTGAGAATTGAATTAAAAGCTTCAAAAATGTTCTGATATGAGTTTAAAGGAAATAAAGCGAAGAAACCGTTTTGATAGCCTTTGGCATGTTGCTTTCAATTTGTAATGGAGTCAAATCAAAAACAAAACGTTTTACAAGCGCTTCCACAAATCTATACTCTATACTATGGGTTTGTTAGGCTACAGACGTAGCCAATATTTCAGTCAAATCCGGAAATACTTTTAGGAAATGTCTCATCCTTGTTATTCTTTATGTGAGCATTTATAATACAAGTACATACCAAAAATCAATCTACCTATTCTGATCACGATTATTAATTAAGTTGACATTATTATGCTGCGAGTATTTACTTACATAATTATTAGTGTAGTCGAATTTGATTTACAGGCAGAATTTCTATAATATAAAGAACAATAATATGATTACTTTGTTCTTTGAAATATTGTTATACTAATATTTTTAAGCACCTGACACTTAATATCTTCATAATAATGTATAAAAAACCTCTTGATTTTAAAATTTCATGCAATAAAATAATATCAATTAAATATTTACTTTTCCGAAATGTAAAAGTATTAAGGTTATTTACTTCAAAAATACACCTTATTACAAAGGTCTTAAGGTATATTTTGATATAAAAAAAATTAACCCCAAATATTTAATAGTTCTTGGACTTGCTTTGGATACATTCAAACCTGATGACCGTCTTTAACTAATTTATTTTATTAAATAAATAAATAAGAAGTGATATAGTAATGAATCTATAACAGTGTGATGCATGATATTTTTAAATTATTGCTATGAAGTTCGAAAATGAGACTGAAGTATTGTAAAATCCAACTAATATGGCACTTCGTGAAACTTCGTTTGCGCATATCTGGCCTACCAACTTTCAATGATGTCAGCCAATACGATTAAAATTTATAATCAGTCTTGTATATAATAAAAATAAGTGGTAAAATGCAACACACAAGGTTGAAGTCTCATTCACACTCCGGAGTCTAGCGAAAATCACCGACTGTCTAAATAAATTATTCGTTTCGAAATGTAACCTTCTGCTTAGGCACGTCGGTGAGTCATATTAGTTGTGTCTTACATACATTTTATTTTTTATACTAGGATAAAAATTGGTCTTCTACCTAATCTCTACTAGGCCAAAACTGGTCTTAAGGTTTGGTCCATATCTGACACTAAAGACGACAGTTGTGTCGCTTAGTTTTCACTGTTCCTCATGCTGGTATATTGTATAAAGCTGTCAGTCTTTCCAAGAATCCATTCTCTATGTTCTCTCCGTGAATTCCGTCGCTTCGCACATCCCTAACATCCCTCTCTAAATGTCTAATATCACCTAAAGAAACAGCACTGGTAACGATAGGGCCGTTGTATTCTTTATTTTTTTCTATGTGAGTGAAAATTTGCATTTTACCGTCTGTATTACCTCTCACAAAAGATTTGTCGGTTTCGCAAATTTGACCCTTGATCATACTCACATCGGTCAGCCTTTCGTTCTCTTTATACATTTGTTCGTTGTATTCTTTTACTTTGAATGTGTCCTTTGGGTAGTCACCATCGCTGTAAACGTCTTTAAATTTGTAGTCCATTTGCTGTCGCGTATCGAACGCTTCGGAGTTTTCGTAGTCTGAGATTTTGAATTCAGAACGACTAACGGTGACATTGGGCGGGGCCCCCTTTTTGAGAACGTTCTTTTTGGATTTATGAGGTTTCTTTGGAGTAGGTGTGGATTTTGAGGTGGGACGACGGGAAGCCGCAGTTTCGAGGGGATCAGTGGGAGGGTCGACGGGGGGTTGGGGGACGTTGCGTTTTTGCACGCGTGGTTTAGATTCGTCGAGACGGTGTCGGAGTTTCTCGTGAATCATCGAGTGACGTCGCAAGTCTCCGGCAACGCGGAAGCATTTGTCGCATTCGTTGCATTTGTATGGACGATCACCTGTGGAGTGATGTGTTCATGTGAAAACAATATTCATACAAAATTCAAATGAAAACAGTTATAATAATATTTAATTTAAAGATATGTTTGTTGACAGTATTATATCAACCATTTTTTTTTATTTCCATGAAAAAAAAACTTTTTCTTAAAATTACACAAAAGATGATAATACTATTGGTGATTTGCAATGTCGCGTCGATAGTACGATGCTCGATAGTCGCCACGCCAATAGTAATATCGGTAATATTATCATTTTCAAGAAGCATAACCTACCACAAACGAATAAGAATCAAATATCTGTCTATATTTTTGTAACTTCTTAACAAAGGTTTCAAAATTTAACAAATTTTATTACCTTTACATTAAGTTATCGTGTATGCCGAGACCACAGTGTTAAAAAAAGTTTTAATTAAGTCTTAAAAATTTTAATTTTAATAAAAAACAAAAAAAGAATGGCTCCCTTTCATAGAGACAGTATGTTTTTTCTTTGTTTTAACTGAATATACAACACATAATACTGAATATAAAGACAACAGCAAGTCAGATTATACAAATCTAGTGATTTGTATAATATAAAGACAACAGCAAGTCAGATTATAGAAATCTAGTGATTTGTATAGTGATTTGTATAATCTGACTTTGTTTTATACTATGTAGTGATCAAATTAGTCAGATTATACAAATCTGACTAATTTGATTTTAAACATTAATGCTTTGAGGTTATACTGGAGAAACTTGACATATTGTGGTAACCTGACGTGTAGCCCGCATGTACCATTTCTGATAGTTCGATCGAAATACCACTGCTTATGGACAAACCGATAATAATCAGAACTCAAAAAGGTGTTAAAATCATCCTTTTGAATTTCGTGGTGTAAGATTGAATGTAAGGTTCTTATTTAGTTTGTGTATCTTATTAAATTACCTGTGTGCGTACGCATATGACTGAGTCGATAGGAGGAGGCACGGAAACTCTTGTCACAGTATTCGCATTTATAATCACGTTCCCCAGTGTGAATCTTACGATGAAGATTCAATGAGTATTTACGTGCGAATTGCTTCCCACAGAATTCGCACCTGAAGTGTTTCTATTACAACAAAAAAGAAACATAAATATTGTTACTATTAAAAATAAAGCAGACATTCCGACTGTGTTATATATTATAATTTTAAGTATATCATAGCTGCCAACAATATTATTAAACTATTTAATTTGTAATAGAATAGTTTATTTCTGAAGTTTCTTAGCAAATCTCTTGTATGTAGAATAATTGAAACATCAAAAACTGTGAAGAACGACGTAGAAATTCGTCATATAAAGTAGTCAAATGCCATTTACTAATTACTATCATCTAATACTAGCTGCCGCCAGCGGCTTCGCCCGCGTGGTCTTGTATTATACATAAAAACCTTCCTTTATAATCACTCTAACTATGAAAAAAAAAACCGCATAAAAATCCGTTGCGTAGTTTTAAAGATTTAAGCATACATAGAGATTTAAGGACAGAGAAAGCGACTTTGTTTTATACTATATAGTGATATGAAACGTTCACACAAAAATAATTTTGACAACAAAATTGCATTATTCACAAATAGACTTGATTAAAAAAATAAATATATATATATCCCACTAGTAGAACTCTACAATAGATGCAGTGATATTTTCCTTCCAATAATAAGTATGTTTATTTACCTGGTTGGAATGTATGGAGGTCTTGTGATACTTTAAATCGCTCCATTGACGGAATCTCCGCCCGCACTCGTCGCACTTGCACGGACGATCACCGTTGTGTACGCGTTTATGAACCTTAACATAATGGAATTTGTGTTTAAATTTAATTTTCAATAACCAATAATTTATGATTTACAATAACCGGCACGAAAATCAAACGAAATAGTAGAAATACGGGGGAGAAACTTAACCATGGCAACAGGACCTAGTATCATCCCGTGCTTGACTTTTCCATACAAATTCACTTCCCGCCATTTCCAAATGCACTTTTTGCATTGTATGCTATAAGTACAGTCAAGAAATAAAGTGATTTGTTACTAAATTTTGTCATTGTTGAGAAATTTATTGGCTTTGGATTTTTGAATCACAATACAGTATAATATTTCAAAAAACAACATCAAAAATAATAAACTTACATAATATATTTGTTACCTATCTATTGTTTTCTCCTGTTACATTGTAGTGATTTCTAAATGGGTAGTACATCGCGTGTTTTGACAAAAAAAAAATTTGCTTTACAAATATTAATTCATATCATAATATTAATTCAAATATTAACTAATACGTTAATAAAGACACCCATAAAGGATTGATTGATTATCGTGTTTTTTCCACTACTTAAATAGGAAATGTACGCATAAAAAATGAAGTAAAACCTTCAAAAATATTCTGATATCAAATCATAAAATAGGATCCCTTAGTATGACGTTACTAGAAAATAAATTTAGTTTTTGATACAATATTTAGTTGAATCCGGAAATATTTTTCAAAATAATGTCTTATCCATGTTATTCCTTCTATAATATATGATACAAGTATCTGGATGCAATCTACCTATTAAGATTCCTGATGATTACACATTACATATATACGTTTTTGTCTAAATCAACTCACGGATAAATTATTCATACCTTTAATGCAGCCGCAGTGTAGAAACTCTTGCCGCACTCCCTACACATCTGCTGTTTAGCGCTATGACTAAGCACGTGATACATGAGACTGTTCCTGTGATAGAATACGCGGGAACAATGTTGACACTCGAACCTCTTCACTTTCTTATGTTCCGTAGGCGACGTAGGCTCTTGCGCTTCTACGCTGTCCGGGATGATGGTATCAGAGAAATTCGTTTCACCGTTAGAAACTTCGGTATCGAATATCCTTTGTAGCACTTCCTCTGTAAAACCGGTCCCCAGATGATTATCGTCATAATGATTATAATGAGTGGCTCTGCGGCGCGGTGATTATAGCGTTTGGTCTGCGATGCGAAGCTTAAGCGACATTAGCAAAATCCGATCATAGGATGGATGACCAAATATGTTTTTTTCGCGACTTCCTTTTTAACTGTCGATCTCCGCTGCATCTGCAGTCGTTAACACCCACTATTACATATAAGCTATGACCCGTTATTCTCATTTGATTCAATGGTATGATGTACGCCATTCAGTGAGAATAATTTACTACAAAATATCGAATTTTAACAATCGATTTTAACTCTTAAAAATAACGCATACAGAATTAAAATTACTTGAAGAAAAATTATTTGCAGTTTGGTGTAACCTAATGTAGTTGTATGATAGCTATGTTAATTTTCTACAGATGGCGATGACGTTAGGATATTACCCGGTTTCAATAGATTATTTGAAGTAAAGGACCATATTTTCTACCAAATACCTACTGCACGGGATTGGCCCTTGCGGTATCTAAAGCTATAAGCCACTCTTCAAATAGGAATACACATGTTTAAATAGATATATGTGGGTGGGTATAATTCAATCCATTTCAATTGAAATTTTAAATGTTAATTTCTCAGGCAATTATTGAAATATTTCCATTTGTTTTGACAATTTTCAAGAGTATTACAGTACCTATAAAATGAAGTGATTTGCTTGAAAAGGGAGAATAATTTATACCTACTACTTTTGAAAAGACTTAGGGGCAGACCTAGAAACGCGTCTTTACATGGAAAAAGCTAAGGTGGGTAAAAAAAAATTCTTGGGTGATTATTATTTTATTAAATTGTTCCGATGAAATTCTTTGTGAAGGAACAAAATACGATTCTAAATGGTTCCCTTAAATTTAGTTGTATGACACTGAAAACTGAATACCGCAGCGTTGTAAGATCATGAAATTACTACACCTTCATCGTAAAGTTTGCATACCTTTGAAATGTGGTGAGGCAGGTCTGGGGGCGGGACACACGGGACAGTATGCGCCGTCCGTCCCACAAGTGCCCGCATTAGGGGACGCTCCCGGACTTGGTCCCGTATCCGCCCCGGGACTAGCTTCGGTTTCCGCACACACGTTACCGTTACGAATGTACCTTCGCAAATGAAATAGTAAAAACGCTCTATAGAGATGACGACTGGGAGAAAAAAAAATGAAATTCTATCTAGTCCGTCAGTCAGATAGAAAAATATTAGATACGTATTTTTTGCTTCGATAAACAAGAAATAGCTTAGATAATAAGAATCAAAGTCGAGGAATTGGGGCCACGTCACAGTTTTGTAGTAAATATACAAAAGCGTGACGTCATGCGAGATTTCAATTCAATGTATCGCCGTAATTTATAGATTGCACAAAAAAATGTGTTTAATATTCTTCAATAAATCTACTTGACGGACAAACAAACAAAAAATAGTTATATCCTTGCTTGTAACGTAAGTCATTATTTATGTACATGCAGTAGTTACTCAAGCTACCGCATAACATAATCCAAATTGATTTTAAGCTTAATTTAATAACGTTAGTGATTATTATATAAATTACTAGCTGACCCGAAAGACATTGTCCTGACTTAATTATGAAATATTGCAACACGCAATCTATCAATTCCATGTCAAACGTCATAAGGTTACATATAAAAAAGTTTATATTATCCAGAGCACTGAGGTTAGATTAGAAATAATTTTGTATGGCAGTTAAATATTCTTAAAATTTCCACACATTTTTTTTTTTCTTTCGTAAGAATCTTCTCGTGATAAAAACACAGCAAAAACAGAATCAGCGAAATCGATCCAACAGTTCACGTGTGAAAGCGTGACCGAGGGAAACAAGGATTCATTTGTAAATATATAAATTTAACAGTATTGTTTACCAGTGCCGTACGTGTTCCTGGTGCACGTGTCCACTGTCCACAGTGAGGTGCGGCAACAGCGGCTGATAATTTTCTTGTGTTTCATCTACGGCGACGTGGATGCCCTCCATCAGGTCTTCAGGCTCGCTGAACTCACTGATGTCTTCCAACTACAAGTCATCGATGTCACGGGTATAAGCATAATTCATATCTATGCAAATTATTTGTGAGAGAATATTAATCGAGAAGATTTTGTGAAATAAATAATAATAAGACACTTTACTACACTCGATATAAAATAGTTTACAGGAAAATTAATACCGCAAGAAGAAATATAGAAAACAAATCCTGGTCTCATAGCTAAACAGCAATCTTTTCCAGGCAACCTATCGTGCCAAAAATAATGATATGGATATTCTCATTGAAGTCGGGACCGATGGTTCTGTGGAACATTTGTAATCTAAGAGATTTCGAACGAGAAGAAATAGAAAACGAGTGATAACAGTGAGACTATGTCCAGTTTTTGCAGTTAGTATCTGCAAGTCTTGTTTTGCACCGCTCGCCTACCCGCAAACATAAACAGGGTTAGATATACGAAAACGTAAACGAAAAACGTTTATATAATAAACCAGCTTGGTCCCTAGGGAACTGTTAGTGGGATAAAACGTAGCCTTGATGGTTTATACAAGCCTAGAATTTAATAATTTTTAATTTATTATTTTTAAATAATTTAATAATTCATTTGGATAAGGTTTCATATCATGACACGGGTATAATTAATAATTATAAATAAACAATAGTTACTATGGCAACATTTTAATTCCATTAACAACCCACCATTTTTCACACCTTCATTTCCTATGTTTCGGGTTAAAATATAGCCTTTATTCACCGCGTAATATGCAGCTTGCCGTAGGAGAAAGAATTTTGTGAATTGGGCTATTAGTTTCGGAGCATATTCGATGCAAACAAACAAACAATGAAATCTTCCCTCTTTATAATATTAGTATAGATAAAATATGAGTTACCTTAGTATTAGAATGAGCTTCCATTATATGCGCCTCGCACTGCTTCTGTTTTCTAAATGATTTGTTACATTTCATACAACTGTACAACTCTAATTTCTCTAATGTCTCATATAAATCAGTTTTTTCGGCCTCCGCAGTTGGTACTGGCTGTTCTTTATCCATACTAGCCATTGAATATTGCACCTTATTATTTGTGTAATTAAGAGTTTTTTCACTCGATGTATACAGTACATGTTTATCTATAGGTTGATACATAGTTTTAGGTACAGTATTCTCTAAGGATAATTCTACTATTGAGTCTGGTAACGTAGCTACATTGTCCACTATGCAAGTGTTAGCCATCTGATGGAAAGAGACGAAAAATATTATAGGATGGGCTCGATCGTGTTCAGTGAGTAATCCTGATCAAATCGAACTGAATAAAAAGTACTTATTTTTGAGTTCTATCTGTTTCACGTGAGAAATATGATTAGCCAAAAGTTTATTTTATTTAACTTTAATACAAAACAAGGGTCTGTGCATATCTAATAGAAAAAGCATCGCGTTTTGTCGGTAATCGAATGTCAGAACAGACAACTTACATTCGACCTTGTACATTCGACGAGGATTCCGTCGCGTACTAACGTATACTTTAATGACATACTTGACGTATCTTCTATCAGATTTGCACCGACCCTTATTTTTAAATAAGTTATTTTTTTGATAACTTATTTAGAATTTAAACGATTCAGTTATATCGAACACGAAGGTATTAAGGAAGGAATACGTAAGGTCAAGTGAGAAATTCGGAATTGGTAGTTTCAAAATATATGCTACAAAATTTGCCAAGTAACGCAAATGCTCGATTGATCAAAATAAGGTATTATAGAGTTGTAAATATTTTTTTTTACACTTCAAGAGTCAAAAAATAATGTATGCTCAATTTTCAATATAAATTAATAGAAATAAAATTGAAGTATAAGAGACATCCACAAATTGTATGAATGACCAAAAAAGGCATGTAGGGTGTTATGGTGCATTATATCTATATGACTTATTCATAGAGAAGTCTAATAATTTTTGTACCCTAACAAGATATTATATGATGACGATAAAAATGTAAGTGATAGTCTTTTACCTTATCAATATTGAGATCTGAGACTGGGTTTTCAATAATTATAGTGCCGTGTGGCTCGTAGTGTTGTTTGAGGTGTTGATAGAACTTAAGCTGTTCTTCGCCGTAGAATTCACCACACAGTTGACATATGAATATCGGTCTGACCTAAGGATTAATGGCATATATTTTTATACAAGTCTCGATAAAATCTCCATATTCATAGTGAACAAGAATCATGATAATTTAAAAAGCATCAAGTCGACGAAGTAATGTGATGTGTGAGAACTAGGAATTAATAATTCGCGTTTACAACAAAATAATGTAATGTAATACGAGATAGCAGATATGATAGATTCAACTATTCAACTCATATAATAGATAACTTGCCTCGTGTGTGATATGCTGATTCTCTTCAGGTAAATGTTGTTCATGCTGCACGGCAGCAACAAAATTATCCGGTAGGATTTCCTCTTGTTGCACCTCCTCGGCGCAATTAATTACAACTATACCCTATACAAAATAAGGTTCAAAACTAAACAGAACAATTTAGATCATTTTCAACTACGATATTTTGGTAAAGTTTGATCAGATGACTCCAAAAAGATTTAACATCAATATACTTTCATGAAAATATCGGAGTTGAAAAAAAAAGAAATATACACGGGTATCTATTTAATTATTTGAAGACTAGGTAGTATTATTGATAAAAAAGACAAACGGCCCATTGCATGAAGACTTTAAGCCCTTATGGATGTTCTAAATTTGAAGATTTGCATTGGTAATATCGCTTTAAAGTAATGACAACTTTAATGGACATTTGCGCAACTGGGCAATATAATAGTAAATTTCTAAAATCATTGGCACAAATTGAACAAACCTGTCCCTGCGGTGTACTATTTCCAGTATTCCTCTTTAATTTCTTGGATATCCTCTTCTTGTGGGGTAAGCTCTTTTTACTCTGTTTATTCTGTGCTGGTGAAGCTCCAGCGCCTAACTCTAACACTGGCCCATCTGAATCCGTTAATATTTGGGTATCGTCCTGTGATATAAAGAGAATTTCATGAGCAGTCTGTATTTAAACTTCGTAAAATTCAAAGTTGAGCGGACGTCTGTTTTGGTACCGCATTTAGAGTATTAATTGTTGTAGTTTTTCTAATTGCAGAAGTTCAGGCTTTTCTAAAAACTTGATATAAATGGGTGTCTACTTACTATTAAGCATTTTCTGGCAACACAATAAATTGCTATTGATTACATACCTCTCGTCAACGATAAGCGCCGTGGCCCGCGATCATTGTTGTTAAATAACCTTCGCAATGGTCGGCCACAGAATGGGGACCAAAGAAATTATAATATCTAGCTTCTCCGTGCTTTGGAAAGCACCTTAAGCCATTGATCCCGGTTGCATTTGCAATTGTTAATACCGTATTTGGGTCAGTGTGGAGGGAGTCATGGCCCATCCCCCTTAACCATCCATAAGGAAAGCTTGAGCCCCTACAGTGGGGACATAAAAGGGCCGACGATGACGATGAATCATCAATGAACCAGAGCAGATTTTTATAACTAAATGATGACTATTTGTATATTTTATGAACATAAATACCTTGAGTATAGTTTTGGTATTGTTGTTGAACCAGTCTGTGGGCGGGCATCGTTTCATACCCTGTAACGGTGGCAGGGGTGGAAGCTGACCCGCTGACTCTACCAGTGACGATTCCGCTGGTTGTTCCTGAACCAAAGCCATGATGTTTACACTCTACTCATTTCAGTTACATTTTAAATTTTCTTAGAGTTCCGTACCCACAGGGTAAAAATACAGGACCACATTACTAAGACTCCACTATCCGTCGATCTGACTGTCTGTTCGTCACCAGGATGGATCTCATGAACCTTTATAATTACAGTTAAAATTTTCGATTTACTGTTACCGCTATAACAATAAATACAAAAAAAAAGAATTAAATTAAATATTTAAAGAGGAGCCCCCTTTAAATATTTACCATGCAACAGACGTTATTTTTTTGCTTGTTTCTGGTAAAGAACCCTTTGTAAGTGAGTGACTCCCTCATGATCGGTTTTTTATTTTCACGCCACAAGACGATTTATATTTAACATATAAAATATGTATATAATATTGCATTTGTTATAATCGTTTATTGAGATATTTTTCTTTTGCAAAATTTAATTGGAATCGAGTAAATTATGGTCACCTGTAACCATTACAGCCATCACAAAAAAAACTTAAATGAATATAATAAGGCTTTTTGAAATTAACTATATTCTTAGCTTGTAATAAAATACAACATAAGAAAAAAAAAACATAGAAAAATGAGCTTTCTTTTAATGTGCCTCAAGTCTAAAATGCTCTTAAAATGTTATGATACACGAGTTCATAAACTAAAGAGAAAAATAATGGAACACAGTAGCAGTGGATGATTATTTTATAGCAATTTAAGTTTTACGAATTTCCAATTTCACATGCGATGATTCTTCGTTATACTAACGAACAGTAAATACATCGAAATGCTTAAGGGTTAGGCACAATGTGTTGATACTGTGCTCACCATGTGATATGTGATCGCAAGACTATGCTAGCGGATACTCATAACATGTAAGAATCATTACTATTGTCTAAATTTAAAAACACTTAGAATCTCGAAACAGAATAATATTTCATGTCGAGAATTTTTATTAGTATGTAGGTGGTATTATTGTGGTATTTCTCTGTAGGTTTTGTAGTAGTACAGTCATTTGTAGTTGCAGGCTAAGCTTAATTTTGACATCATTGTGTGGATTTGTAAGATGTCCCTCCCCTGTCACTTTTACCCACATTAATTAGTATGTGTCTATACTTCTTGTCTTCTTGTGTCTATGTCTAATTAAAATTCTAATTTTCGTTTTATGATTGTAAATACATTTTCTAATTGGGGTGTATAAGGGATGTGCGTTATATCTGTTACACGTTGTATACGTAAGTGCTTACCATAATTTGCCCATTGAACAACCGCAAAGGCGCATCCAAAATAACAGATGCATCGACATCTCCTCTGACAGATGTAACCTGAAACGTAAAAATCGTCATACAACTGCCATTGACTTCGAATGTAATGTTCTTAAGCTACTACGTAAAATTGAGTATATAGAACTGGTTTCGCCCGACGTCTAAACTTCAGACAGTTGATCTATTAAAACAAAAATTCAAACTAGACCTTCCAATACAGCAGTCTATTTTCTTTTCTTTTTTATGTCATAAATTAAAAATAAGTGGTAAATAGAAATCAATTATAATCATATTAGGTAAATAAAACAATTAATTGACGTTATTTAATTTATATCGAAACATCAAATTGACAATAAATTGATAAGAATAAGTGATCAAACTAAAAAGAAAAAACAAAAATCAACATGTTGAAAAACATTCTTTGGTCATCCTTTAATTAACTGAACAAAGTATAGTTGGCCAAGCTACGGTGAGTTTTAGAGTCAATGTAGCGGAAAAGGCGCTTGCGACATCTACATTCATTGGTGATTACTATTATTATTTTATAGATTTACTAGTCGTTTTCCCATCACTGCATGCGTAAATTATAGCTTATGTCAACCCTGTATATGATGTAGCTCCCTGTAGGTGAAAGAATTTTTAAATTTGTCCAGTAATTTGGGAGCCTTTTCGATGTAAACGAACAAACCGTCAAGTCTTTCCTCTTTGTAATATTAGTATAGATAAGTAAATATTACCTACACATGAGGACTGTGTTACAAATTCATAAGGTTTAATTATTTATAGTTTCGTAAATCACGCGGAATACCACCTCCATAATCCTGTAACAAACGTTACTGGTAACAGATTGCGGGAATTACTCTGCACCGCGCTACTGCCCAATTTCCTTGATTAGATATTTACGAAAATGTGATGCTTGAAAATTTCTATTTTCTCTTCATGCGGCTATTCGTGTGAAAGGTCTGGATTCACATGACATGAATTTTGCATTATAAAACTGCAGAATAGAGCATACATTTTGTGTAAAACGAATTTATAAATCTTTCGCCAAGATCCACCATTGGCCAAACGAAATCATAACCTCACTGATTATTCTATTAAATTGTATGCTGATACTGTATTCCTTTGTATAGCATTATGTTCATTTATTCATTCAAAATAGAAACAATGTCAAATTAGTCACTCTGCCGTTAACCCATTATATTAACACCTATCTTTTAGTGGAAATTGATCAGCCTGATTTCATATAAGTATTCAGCCCATCACGATATGTGTTGTATTTATAAGAATATTATAAATACAAATAAAAAAAATTGAACTTGAAGATAGATTCAAGTTCAATGGCAAATTTTTTTATTGTTGGTAATTTTAAGACTTTGCATACAATTTTAAAACATATTTTTTTGTCCTTTTTTAAGGATATAATAATCTATTCATAATAATTTTTAATGAAAAATTGTAAATTATTTAATAACTAGTATAAGGCTGTTCCGTATTAATCGTATAACATCTTATCCTATGCATTATTTTTTTCTTACTCATTGTATTTATGTTCTTTACTCAATCCAATTTAATTCATTTTAAAATCCTTATTCATCCTACCAGTATTCCTGACTCATCCTTTTTTAAATCACTTAAAAATTTAAAATGTCTGTGTATGATCTGAATTAAAATATATTTTTTTTTATCTAAATTATTTCCTGTTCAAATGAACAAATCTTCTTTCATTACCGTGGTACGTACTTCTGAGTTGTTTGATCAAAATCATATAGGTTATGTGTAAAAGAAAATGTCTTTAGTAAGGTACTTGGAATGTAACAAATAAATTTTGCATTGGTAGTATTTATTCAGATTAATAATAATAAGAAATAATATTATAATGTTAAGGCACTCTGCACCCAAGTGCTAGACTAAATAGGGTCTATCCAAATATTGTTGTACAGTATTTGCATTAACAGTATGGTGTATCATAATAAAAGTTGGAGATACAACTCTTAGATTGTGCATCTAGCAAATCTAACTAAGTACGCATCACACTTTGCAAATCCTTTTATTGAATTATGGGGATTTAGTCTACAGACCTTGTCTATTGCAAAGAATTCAGAGGTTAATTCAACATGTGCAAAACTCGTGTAGTCGATTTTGTTTTTTGTTTTGTGTGTGCATGACATGATTTATTATAATCATTTACTTTTAACATTTTGACATTGGGCTTAATCTTTATAATCAATTTTAATACTATTATTTAATTATTATTATTTTATTTATAATGCAATTCATTTTAATATATTACTTCCCAATCCAATTCACATTGTATTCAACATTTTACTATCTTATGTAATTTATTTGAAATAGTTTCAAAATATTTTCACTATCATTTAATTTTGAACTTTGATGAATAGTATTTAGTTGCTAATCCAATTTTTAAGGTTAAAGCTGAAAATCAGTAGTTTGCTCTACAAGCAAACATATTACTGAGCTTGTGCATTTTTGACTTGTGCATGTCTTTTCATTTAAATTTTCTTTTTTCTTCTATATTTTGTCTATTTGTGGTCACTCAACTTTAAATAGTTGCTTGCATGTGTGTCGTGTGATATATGCAAATAAAATTATTATTCATTCATGCATCTAAGGCAAAAAAAAATGAAATAAAACAATGTTCAATCATGGCAAACCTTCATATGATGTGGTTGGTGTTGTGAAGTCCTGGAGTGCTGAGAGAGGTGAGCCACTAGTGCTGCAATTCGCCCATCTGTATCCAAAAGTTCTTCATTCCATGGACCATCACCAACTTGTTCTCCAACAGTCACTTGTCTGTAATATTTATACATATTATAATAGAAGACAAAATATAGAAACAAATTAATAAAGTAATAGATGATCAGTGAACCAACCAATGATGTATAACCAAGTTTGTATAAGGGGAATAAACTGAATAAACAAAGAACAAATATCTTTTAATTCACTGAGTTGAAATATTGTATGACATCAAATCTTCATACATTTTCTACAAAGTTGAAACATGGCAAGCCCAAACTCTTCAACTTTAATGCCTGCCTCATCTAAGACATTTCTATTTAAATTGGAGCAAAAAAATAAGTTAGTATTAATATTTTTCTATTATATATCTGACTTTTCTTTACCCAGTCATCATGCCTATTAAGTGGATTTTAAATAAGACATTAAGTTGAAGTGCCATGGTTGGTAACTACAATGAAAATAATCAACCCTTGGAATCAATACTGCAAAGTACAAAAAATCTATTTCATCTAAACTATAACTAGCAACTGTAATATTACCTGCACATATTGGGTGTGAAATTAGGAGGGTGCATCACAGTAACAACTCTGCCTCCAACATCTTCTTGGACATTAAGGGTAAGCCCATTGGCATCAACATGAACAGCCTATATAAATATAATATATAAGTTAATAAACATTAAAGGCAAACAAAATTTACAGTGACAACTCTACGCAATTTGGTAATCTTGAAAATCAAAATAAAAGTGTTTATCAGATGTAAACTACACAATTTAATTACTATTAACAGAATTATACCTGGTGTGACTCATCCACATTAGTGTTTACTTCCTTTAGTATACACAAGTATAATTCAATTATTAACATATTGGTGGTATTGATTTAAAAGGGTATGCAAGTAGTGTAAAAGTATACAATCAAATTCTCTTTGTTCAAATCAGTTCTAGATTTTATGTATGGAATAGGATTATATTCAGTGCTCTTAAACCTTCTTATGTGACGAAATTAGATAAATAAAAATATATTCACATTTATTCTAGTTTCAAAAGGAGAACAAAATAGATAAAACAAAATGAATACCTCGCTAGATTGATGTGCTGTTGTTATATAGTGGGTGACAGTTTCTTCTATCTTCCCATCTAGGAGATGAGAATCTACAGTCCTCATTGTAAATGTTTTCATATAAAATCGTACATGTTTATTTTATACCTCGGGCAAACGAAAATTGGTTATGTTGACAGCTGCTGCAGTCAAGGTCACCATATTTTAATTATGTTTAACATTTTCTTAATACTTGCACTGACTTAATAAATTATGAAAAACATTGCTTTGAATCAATTAAAAAAATATATAAATATTTTAATAATTTCCTTTCTCAAATAGAGTAGAAAAAAGAAAAAAATCATGAAATTAGCAATTAACGAAACCACCACAAACTATCACAAAACGATAGAGCTCAAAGAGTAATTTTATATATATGGAAAATAGAGCTTATCCACAGACTACTTAGATTGCCACTAGTGTTGTGATGTGGTATTGAGCAAAGAGTAAATATATCGTAGAGTACAGAATCTAATGGCTTGGCAATACAAATATTATTCTTTATAGAAATCGGTACATCTATGTCGATATATTTCATTTTCATTAAACCAATAATAGAACTATTATCGTCTTGTCATGTTCGAAAAAAATATAATTAAGAGCATAGCAAGACGATAAGTAAGTACTATTTTGGAAAATGGTATTATAATGACGAAATAAAAAAAAAATTTCAAAGAAGTACAGTCAAAACCAAAAACATGGTTTTGACCCACCAAAAGGCAATATTCTAGGTTTTTTATTTTAGGCAATATTTTAGGTTCTTTTTTTTTGTATACCATAAATAACTAACCAAACATCACAAAAAATCTTTGTGTTATGTTTGCTGATGACTCTGATTGATGATTTATACCTGATTAATCCAGAACTACATCCATTATATATGAATACTTTATGACTGTTTTGGTTACACTGAAGGACCAAAATTCAAGATATATAACAGAATAATAAAAATTTATTTGCAAAAAATTTAAAATTGTTAGAATTACAATATTTTAAAAATATATCCAGTTGTCAATTTTAAAATAAAAAAGTTCTCTAAAGAGAGGAAGCATCAAATTCAATATTTATGTTCATCACATGTGTGCACTGTATGCGCCTGTATGGCTGTGCTGGACGCAAAGATTGATCAAAATTTAAAAAACAGAATAAAAATTATGTTTGCTTCAAGTTGGTAAACAGAAATCACGAACACATAATTCAAATTTAATTTCTTTTCTCAAACCCACCAACACGCAGATCCAAAACTATATAGAAAGTTTATTTTCTATATTGACCCGAAAGAAAATCAAACCCCTCAGTGACGACGACTCTTTGAAACCAGTGTATTTTTGTGGTCAATGTTTGTTTTAATTTTTTTTTTACGGAATAGGGGGCAGACGAGCAGACGGATCACCTGATGGTGAGTGATTACCCCCGCCCATGGACACCTGCAACACCAGAGGAGCTACAAGTGCGCTGTCGGCCTTTAATTTAGTTGTTCTGTAACATGTTACTTCATTTAATTATATACATATGACAGATGGACTTATATTCAGTTCAGGAAATGAATTTAAAATATTAATAGTGAGAGTCTTAATTAAATCGGCTTACAAATATTTTTTTATCCAATTAATGTTACATTGGACAGAGTATAAAGAGTAAGTGCTCTTCATACATACGCACCAAAAATGGTTTGTATATGAGCGCGCCTGTGCGTTTGCACGCACACACTTATAAAATTATCGAAGTTAAGGAATTCAAGGCACGAGTGGCAACTCGCCAGTCGTGGCTAGAACGTCGTGCTTGCGTATATTTCGCATCGCTGTATTGCTGCTTGTTATAATAGTTCTGGACGTAAACAAGATGGCTTTGAAAACTAAACCAAATTATTGTATTTGCATTTATAAATCAAGTATATGGTATTTCGTTCTTTAGGTATTCGGGTAATTTATTATAATATCATAAGTAGAGTTTGGCAAGCGAAACGTGACACCACCTATTTTTCCGTTTTCATATGGCAACAACATAGAACTGTCAGTTTGACACTACGTTAGACAATTCAAGAATATTGAATTTTGTTGTTTTTGCGAATTTGAACTTGTGTTTTTGGTTAAAAATTATGTCGAAGCCGATAAAAAGTTCATCGAGGAAACTTCTTTCCATCATGATTGACAAGTTTACTGAAGTGAAAACTGAATTAAATAAAAATTTCATGGAGAAATTACAACGATTAGATAAAGTTGTATCTTTTTTAGGTTAGTTTTGTATTATAATTTTGATACTTTCGTTTTAATTTTCTGTAATTAACTAAACAGATATTTTTTATAAAATATTGCTCTATTTCAGATAACTGTGATGGTGATATTCAACCAATAATGGAGGAGATAAATGCAATAAAAACTTTAGAAAAACAAGAAATGCTGAATTCGGAAACGCAGTACTTACAAAAAATTTCTTCAATGACAGGTCTCTTTTCTTGTTTTGATTTAAGATAGATTGATAGTATTCCTATAATATTTACATAGGTTTTTTATGATGTATTGGTTTTTATTGTTGACATCCAATGATGTCATAAGAATGTTTTGTTTAACAAGGAAATTCACAGAATTCATGAAACTAATCAAACCATGTAATTGTTATACATGCTAAATATGCACATAAACTTAACTAAATTAAAGATAAATTGCATTCATAGTTGAATAGGTATTTAAATTATTTTGATGTATGTGTCTATCATTATTTGCTTTTAAATACATTTAACATATCTTTGTTTCAAAGTGTTTAATCTTTTATAGATGTAAGTATAAGGACACTAAGAAGGATAAAAAATGAAGCATTAATTAATAAAGGAAAATGGGACACTCCTGGGAAAAAACGACCTCATCAACCAACAGTGTCTGCTTTAGATAATTTTGATTTAAGTGCAATTCGGAATAAAGTAAATGAATTTTACTGTGTGAAAAAAATTGTTCCAACATTAAGAAGCCTTCACAATGAATTAAAAGATGCAATAGGATTCAGTGGTAGCCGTGAGACTTTACGAAAAATTATGCTTAAGAATGGATTTTCTTTTAAAAGCAATGAAAATGAACGTTCTATGCTTATAGAAAAATACCAGATTTCTGCATGGAGGCACAAGTATTTGAGAGAAATAAATATAAAACGAAACGAAGGAAAGCAAATTGTGTACCTTGATGAAACTTATGTACATCAGAATTATAAAGTTAAAAAGTCTTGGCAAGGACCTTCAACAACTGGTGTCACTACAAAGATATCCTCTGGAAAACGGCATATTGTTGTGCATGCTGGATCTGAGGAAGGTTTTGTGCCTGGTGCATTATTAGTGTTCAGTAGTAAATCCAAATCTGCTGATTATCATGATGATATGAACTCATCGAACTTTATGAAATGGGTCAGAGAAAAATTAATACCAAATTTAAGTAAGCCCAGTGTAATTGTTATGGATAATGCCAGCTACCATATAAAACAAATCAATAAACCGCCTATAATGTCTAATACCAAAGCAGATATCCGTAAATGGCTTGTAAATAATGGAATACATTTTGAGGAATATCAGACAAAGGCAGAGTTAATGTGTTTGGTTAATGATAAGAAAACATTGCCTGTATATGAAGCTGAAGAGATTTTAAAAGAACATAATCATGAACTTTTATTGCTGCCACCGTATCATTGTGACTTAAACCCAATAGAGATGGTTTGGAGTCAAGCAAAAAGAAAAATTGCAAGCAGAAACATTGGAATACCAGGAAAGGAAATGGAAAACTTAATAATAGAGTGTTTTAACTTAATTACCCCTAGTGACTGGAAGAAATACACTGATCATGTTTTAAATGTCGAAAATGATTACAAATTAAAAGATGGCATTGTTGAAAACGAACTTGAAAAATTTATTATATCTGTTGGTGCAGACAGTAGTGAAGAGAGTGACTCTGATGATTCCTTGTCATTGTTATCAGGTGTAGAATATTTAGAAACAGATTTTGACTATGAATCAGACTAAAGTATTTTTAGTCTGATTCATAGTCAAAATCTTATCTTAAATTTTCTATTGTGATTAACATGATGATTTTGTGACACCTGTATTATGTAATTTATCCATGGCACTTAATTGTAACAAAAATAAATGTTTTTTTTATTGTAATCTGGTGTTTATATTGACTAATTTAATTTGATAGATAGTGGTTCTGGATCAGAGCAAAAGGTTGTGATGAAAATCCCTTAGGAGACATGTATGTGTTATGAACACATTATAAATATAAGGGCCAGAAATCAAAATTGGCTAACATCACATTTATTAAAAAAATGTGGCCAGAGTCGCCCATATTCATTACAAAAAAACAAAGAAGTCGTTGCAAAAAACACCCTTTTAATTAATGACAAATATGAATTTTTAATATTATAAGTGCTGTTAGCCAATAGGTATAACGAATGGGTTAAAAAAAAGATTCGATTTAGTCCGTCAGTCAGATAATAGAAAAATATTGGATACGTATTTTTTTTCGCTTTAATTTAACAACAAATGGCTTAAGAGGTACTATGCGACGACTTCAAATATGCTTTGCAACAATGTTACTTTAATACAGTTTATCGATACGAAATCAAGTGTCAAAATGGAGTCCAGTGGAGAATGCCGATATTGACATTTCGAAATTGCTCATCATTGATAGAGAATACGAAATAGTGATTTTGACACAATCAAAGTGTCTATTTTTTACGGTGATGACGATTCTTGGTTGTCAGTTGAGTTAGTGAATAGGCCTACTGATATGCTGTTAACTGTACAATTAAGAACAGTCACGCTTTAGTCAAATGTTCCAAAACAAATAATTTTAATTGATATCTAAATGTTAAGATTAAATATAATTAATAAAAGTATCAAAATTATTTTGCAGTACTACATTCAGTGTTTACTGCTTAAGAATTTTTGAAATTGCCGCCCTTTTCTTGTGACACGTTTCGCTTGCCAGACTCTAATTATAATTTTGTGTAGCTATTTACCCATCGAAAGTGTTTATGAATTTTTTCTAGTCAAGATTTCGTATACCAGATATTAATTTGTAGTCATGTATGAATATTTTGTTTGTAGTTTAATTTATTAAATCTCTATGCCCGAATACCTCCAAATTGAAATTGATATTGAATTGTATATTTGCGTATTAGACAATGTAATATAAAAAAATATGGGCTATTGATAGAAACTGTTTGTACAAGCAAATGATTATTAAAAATTAAGATCGGCATTATCTTATTTTGTTCGTAGCCTGATTATTTGGAAAAAAAAAATATAAATACATAATTCATTAAAACCACGTTTTAATTTTACAAAACACTAAATTGAAGACATGACGTAGGAATAAAAAAATAATTGTAGTTAGGTCCTGGTCTATATATTAAAAAAAAAACCTTAAAAAGTTGTATTATATTTGCCGGTTGTTTACCATACTGGGGGAAACTATATTTTAGAGATTGGTTGACCATGCATTTCTGACAAGTGACAGCCCTAAATGTTTAGGCTATTATCTCTTGCTCGGGTCTCGAGTGCACCTACTTATACTGGGAGGAACAAAATGATCGACACAGCCGAAAGTTTCAAGTTAGGTTACATGCAAACGTTAATTTTATTTGACAAATATTTCAAAATAGAGGAGGTGTAAAAATGGAAAAAAAAAATTCTAAGTGCTGACAGCCCTATATTGCGCATGCGCAATATTGATTGTGTGCAGATTACAACGAACCACGAAATACATTAATTTAATTTAAATATTTACCGATACTTTTATGATAGTCGATGCTGAAAATCTCCACTTCCTCTCTGAAGACTGAGCTAAGCACGCTCTTTTCAATGCAGGTGCATGCACGCGCAAAACACATTACATTTCACACAATCTTCACTAAACTAAACTTAACACTCAAGACGAACACTCTAGTATCTTATTAACAAAATTCAATTAAAAATGCAGCGGTGCGTCGGCGGCGATGCGCGACAACACTCCAACGCAAAAGGTCGGCGGCGACTGATCGGCCGGAAAATACCGACAGAATAATAAAGCCGCCTGGCGACTGGCAGGCGGGTGGGGTTTTGATTGAGGGACGAACTCGGTTCACATTTTTTTTATTCGTCTTTCGATATCACGCATTTTTTTAATGTTCTTTTTAAATGCTATTTTAATAACAAATTCCTCAATGTTTTTAAAACAAAGTTCATTTGTGTTAATGATGAATCGCTAGAAGATTTGTGAGTTACCCTATTCAAACAATTTTTTTAAGAACTTCTCTTTTAAAATAACGTAGGTTAATGTTAGACTGATCTCTCTATAATAATTTAGGAAATTTTACACTCGGTTTCTTAATTGAGAATTTAAAGTTAAACGTCTCAATCTAACATCACTGATTGTTAGTTTTCGTTTCCGATTTTAGTTTTTTGATGATCAGTTGATAGCAGTTTGATAAAACTAGGACTATTTGACTTACGAAATTAAAAAAACTTAGGTTATTGAGAATAAGCAGTAGAAATTTTCTACTTTTTTCAAATCAGAAACCGGCTGTTAGTCTGTAAATCGATTTAAGCATTTTGACTGCCTTGTTTATTGATTGTCTGGTAGAATTTGCATGAAAGCAGTCTTATAAATCACAAACTAGTTTATTTCGTTTTTAGAAATGAAGAAGTCAATGACCAATTAAAAAAATTTCCTTAGTACGTCCCAAAAACAGCTGACTCAGGGTTGAAAACACTCATTTTTATTCAAAAACTTTGTAATTTAATATCTCTGAAACTATTTGACCTAGAGTTATAATTTTTTTACATTATATTAAAGACAAATAGTTTTCTCCAGGAACCTCGGGAGTGTCGGTCGTTCTGTTCCACCGAGTATATTTGTACTGTGCACTGGATTTCGTTTCGCATATATTTATACCTACTTTGTACGCTCTTTGGTTACGTCAATGTCACCACATATCTGCCATAGTGACGGTCTGTCTGTCACTGTCGCTGTCACTCAAGCAAGTAACCAAACCAAACCAAAGAGTACTTTTATATATACGGTCCAACTTATATATATGCGATTTTGATCAGCTGGTGATTTTATTTCGTAAAAAAATAGATTTCGTTTTTTTGGAGGTTATACCTTCGTAGTTAGGAATTTTTTATTATGTAAATTATAATAAAGTCTTCTACTGCTCAACTGCAAGTGTGGTTAAGTTTTTTAGTTGAAAATCTGCTATGAAATATCTTCTTAAAATTAATTAAGACCAAGATGTTTCGCAATCAAAGATATTGTCTAATAATAAGAACTATTGTGAGTATAGTTGTATTTACCTAACTTGTATAATTTGAAACACATAATGAGAATATTCCATCTGATGCTATCACATACCTACATTATTTGAAATGATGAGTTTTTTTATCAATTTTTGTAATCTTTAAAGGTTACCAAAATTGATAAAAAAAACCCAAGTCAAAAATGGACTTAAGTGCATTTCATAGAGGATGCGCATGGTGACGTTTGTAAACAAATCCATTTGCTGCAATTTTTAAAAACCATCCTTACAAAAGATTGTTTGATTGTGTATCCATTAGATAGTTAAATTTTCATTTTAAAACACATAATTTTGTAATATCTATAATTATTGAAATCTAATCCACTACTAATCCACACTAAAGATATTGTTTTTAATAGTGGTTGAATTAATAAAATCATTGAAATCATAATACACATTCAGTAATCATTTGACAATTTTCTATTATTTTTCCCATTACAATCTAAGTTCATGAGAATAAAATTTTAAATAATATTTATATTGTATTACATATTTTGCCCATGCTATGTGAAAAAGACTATTATCAATGTTTAATTATTTTATTGTTTGTAGCTTTAAACTAAAACCTGTTATTTCTATATTTTAGTTTCATAGAAATAAACATACAAACAAGCTGGATGCTATCAGGGAAAAGCTTCGAGAGGGTCCAACTTTTGCAGACTTTGTTTCCAAAGATCATCCTAAAGACTGGCAAGATTATGAAGGAAAATTGAAGAGAGAAAAAGGAGAACAAGAACGCCTTAGACTGCCTCCGTGGTTGAAAACAACTATACCTACAGGTTAATTTCAATTAATATTTCGTAAATTAATTTTATGATGAGATGACAGACCTAAATTGAATATGGACGGGCTACATTTTGAGAGGCCCTCTTAAAGTGCAGAGAGAAGAATGTTTTTATAGTTAGTTTTTTAAGCTAAATGGTGATGGAAGTTTTTATAAACATAATGATTGTAAAAAGCCCAACAAAGTCATATTTTCTTGACAGTCACTTTAATTTCTATAATTTTTCTTGGTTTATCAATAAAATGTTTGCAGTGTGGGTGGCCTCTGAAAACCACCATATTTATAAAATGTGGAAACAGAAAACAATTTTATAACCTCATATGCTTCTAACTATATTAGTCATTTGTTTTAAAGACAAATTTCTCAAAAACACTATTTTTTTTTTCTATTTAATGCACTTTGTTAAAATTCAAATAATTAATACTTTGAAAAACTTATCATTGCTTGTTATCTCACTTGATTCATGTTTAATAATGTAATGACCCAGTGACACATTACATATCAGTAAACTATATTATTTATTGATTTCTTATATTTTAATGCGCACTATCCATATACCTATGAAATAACTTTTAAACGGTTCAATCAAAGGGTCCAAAATGTTAATAAAACTAAATACAAACGCAATGAAACTATTTAAAAGTTGTTTTGTTTAAATTATATTATCTTCAGTAAAGAAGACTTTTGGTATCCAGTATCTTTTGATTAGCTATTGCATCAGTTGCACTTACTTAAATAATGTAAAAACTTTCTGGAATTTGTCATAATAACATCATTGATAATTATCCAAAAGAAATCTTGATAACTATGAACCCTGAAGACAGGTTTTAAAGTGAGGTCCAAGGTTTGATCCAGTCAAGTGTAGATAATAAACTATTCCATATTAATTATTAGTATATGTGGTAAAATGTACCAAACATTAATTATTTTATATTTCTACAATACAAGGCCTTAGTATGGGATCTGAGCTAGGTATGTGATAATGTCTAATATTTATTATTCAGTTAATTCACTTTCCATAATCATAATCGTGATTGAAGTATAGATTTGCAATATTTTTGTCCTTTGTTATATATGTCACAGCCAACTGGTTAAAACAGCCGTTCATTTGGAAGGCTAGCTATTTCGTTGAATGGCGCCAATCAATGGCACGCCTAGTATTTTAGTACAATCATTATGACATTTGGTCCATTCAACAAGAGGACTGATTTAAAAGCTGCCAGAATTTCAGACCTATTACGTGACCAAAATGACTTTGTTGTTCATCATTTTACGTTTTTATTAACTATTGTAGCCAAACTTTGAAATCGTAATTAACATACTAAAACAATTGCAGTCATATACATTGGTTACTTTCATTTTCGATATATGTTGCTGTGGCCGTCTGAATTGCCGTATATCTTGTTTTTGTATAATTGTATTAGTACTAAGCATTTATTATAAAACTTTAAGCTTAACCCACTTGCGTTACTGGTGTGAACGATAGTATTGGATCATACGGATCATTAACACCTAGTCGCAAATAAGCAGTTTTTTGTTATCTTTTTGATCAATCCTGTATCGATTACAGATAGTAAGGTTATAGTAACGAAGAGTTTTTTAGTTTTATTTAAAATCACGCACAAGAATATTTAAATGTATTTTTACTTCAATCCTACCCGATGAATCGACAGTTAATTAGTTGGCTGACCTTTGTTCAGCCGTATTGGAGAACTTGCGTTTATCTATTCGGCTGATCGAAAGTCGACCCGTTGAGTGAATGGCGCCATTCAATTAAAGGGCTAGCCGTCCGAGTGGTATCCTGATTACACCACTTGGCTGTGCCATATACAAGTTATTTAAAATCCTTACAAATTGGACTTATGGATATGTAAATGAGCGGTTGAAATGCTAAGTAATGGTTTACATTGACTTTTTTGTTTGTTTAAAACTAGTCAATTCTATATGTATCACCCTCAATAATATCGCAATTGTTGGTTTTGGTCAAACAATTATGTTATTGCTTATAGGTGCAAAGTTCAGTGAAGTTAAGAAACAGTTGAGGGAATTAAAATTGAGTACGGTATGTGAAGAAGCTCGGTGTCCAAACATTGGAGAGTGCTGGAGTGGGGGAAAACATGGTACCTCTACAGCCACAATTATGGTAAGTTTCTTTTTATATTGTTTTTGTAATTGCATTTCGTTATTTGGATAATCTTTGTGATATAAACTGTGTAGAAATTTATTTAACACATTTACCTTCCTATTATAGATTTAAAAATAACATATTAATAGAAGAGGCCTCATGGCTCACACTGTCAGCTGCGTGCACACCATACAGGCAAATAAGCACTGCATACCCTACCCATAAAACCCAACTTAATCTTACCTAAATAATCATCATTAGCTCTATATGAGGATTCATTCATAGAGACTCATGGTCATGATTTGGTTAAACCAGTAAAAGTGCCATCTATCAAAAATAGACAGAACTACTATAACGTTCTAGTTAGCGGAATATTTTCAACCGACTGCTATGGTGGAGCTACTGCCACCGATGCGGCCGTAAGCCACACTACTTACAGCTAACTCGCCATACAAACACGATAGATCAAAACTCGTTTTGTACGCAGAAAATATTTGTATATGTGTGTGTGTATAATTCATGCATGTGTTAGGGCGCTTGTGCACTACACTGAATTTTCAGGTCCGGCGGTCCGATTTTTTCCGGTCTGGAATGACATGAAAAACTCGGATGAGTAGCTTGTGCACTTGTCCGTTTTTTTCCTGATCGGAGCGTCGCAGTGTAGGGCAGCTCTCTTTGAAGTCTCTTTGACGTCACTTACGCTATGTACGATGAGATTTTTGGAATGTCGGTAATTCCGTTCGAAGACGTAGAAAGGTACCTAAATAATGATCTGATCGTTTTACATAAATCATAATAAATTATGGCAAGACGAATGAAGCATTTTTTTTTACTTCTATCAGATGACTACTATCAGATGTAAAAACTTATACCCTTACTAATTTAGGAACAGCATTATTCACATACAATAGTTAAAAATATCTGTGACATTAGAATAAAATTACTGATAATGGTCTAGTACTTGATGTTTAAATTTTTAAACGTGCTATTTTTTTTCGAAGTTTTGTAAAAACAACTTTCAGCGATTACAGAGATAGACCAATCGGTGGCGCCATTTCGTAAACAAATCGAAATTAGTGCCGTGTTAGCGGAGAATTATTATGCTAAATGAACTTTACGAGATCAGTTGACTATATTATATATAGGCATAATTTTATGCGCGTAGTGTAGTTTCTTTGAGCAGAAATATTATTCCCTTAGAATACTTATTTTTTTTAAATTCATTAATGACACAAACATACATTTAAAATTTTATTAAATGCGAAGAAGACATGTGTCACTTAATTACTTTTGTTAATCTTCTGTTTATTCTTTATTATTACTTCTGTTGTCAAATATTTATCTATATTTATCAATTGTCTAAAAAAACTGATAATGACAAATTTCCAGGCAAACTTTCATCCTCTATTTTTAGCGATAAAATGTAGCCTATGTCCTTTCTTAAAGTTAAGTCTATTTACTATATTAATTTCCATTTAGATGAGTTCAGTTGTTTAGGCGTCTAAACGTAACAACACTTATTTATCTTACCTTAAGCTATCGATACTTTTAATACGATTCTAAAATCTAGCTAAGTATCGATACTAGAACCATACGCTGATCAAATTAGAACTATACCGAGCATATGCCAAAGCATATGCAGTGATATATACCAACTATATTAAATCATCATATAAAATATAGCATTTTATAATCAACAATAAATATCGATTTAAGTTTATTGGAAATTAACAATATTGCCGAAATAAATATCGATTCAAATCGATTATTTTTTCCCAAGCCTATTCCTTATGAATTTTCCGGATCTCGGACGCAGCAGTGCACAAGCGTAAACACGTTTTTCATTGCCGCCATCACGGACCTGAAAAAACCGGTCCGGAATAGAGAAAAGTAAAATTCCGGACGGTAAAATTCCTGACAGTGCACAAGCGCGCATTACCTACATATGGCCTGACATATCGGACCTGAAAAAATCGGACCGCCGGACATGAAAATTCAGTGTAGTGCACAAGCGCCCTTACGGTTTTGAGAGGCACTGCTTATAGAAGCCTGAATAAATTAAAAGTCATCAAAAGAGTAGCGTTTGCGCAAAGGGTATGAATCGACAGTTCAGCAGTTTAAACATTTTTTTTTTCACCATTTTGTTTTGATTACTTTTCTTAGCGCTTTTGTTTTGTGGAAAATAATAACTATGAGCTGCTCTTTCCGCTCTGTGCTGATGATAAATACGACTGCATTTACGTTGTCCTTGAAGAAAAAAATAAAATAATAGCAAATGGTAGGTGTGTCCGGGTCAGATTTAATTAATAAAAGGGAATATCACTCGATCTTTAATCAAAAGTATTATTATAGTTTAAATCGGCTAAAATTAACATATATTTAATTTTACAACCATATTTTCTGAAGTTTACAAATTAGCAAAACGAATAGTTAGGAAAGGTACTAGTGAGTAGCGCGTCAACCAAACGATAATTTTCTTGCATAAAAAGAACTTTTAAAACGATTTTGTTATTTTTACCACGATGTTTAACTTAAAGTATGTTAATTTAACGTGTACGTTGATTTAATTTATAAAAAAATAAGGGATTATTCAGACACGTACCAAATGTTTTGTCGGCCGCTGGCTGTTTATGTGAAGAATATCTAAAATAATAGGTGTTAACAGTTCAGTAGTTCTTACTATTTCGATAAAACGAAATTATTTTTCGGTAGCTTATTTCAATGGTGACCAACAAATTTCAAATGATCATCATCCTGGCCAGGCCAGGCCATGTGGTCGACCTTATTTAAAGGTACCTACTGAAAGTATGCTGAGAATTGGTGTTTTTTTTCAATATAGGTACATGCTGCATACCCTACCACAAATCTCTGTGCACGCCTGCTGTAGGTAGAGCTAAACTTCGAACTCTTACATGTCCTAACTTTACAAACCCTTATTTCACAAACCTTACACTTTGGTCAAAACATGTGATAGTGATGTGATATGGTCTCGTCTCGGTAATATTGGTTTATAAAATGTTTTTGGTGGTAGGCACGGTTGGACGTCAGAGTTCCACAATATGCGATACACAATATCTATACATTATATGTCTCTATGGAAATTTAAACTTTACCCCTCATAACATTAAGTTTGAAAATCAAGAAAATAAATTTATCAGATTCGCTAATAAAAAGATCATAATGTTTTCTTTATTTTTCTCTTGAGACATGAACATCGTTAGGAAGTTTCGGTTTCGACCGAAACTGAGACTGTTCCAGAAATTCGGTTTCGGTTTCGGTCATAAAAACCAGTTTCGGTCGGACACTAATTATAACAGAAGCCCGGATTGCGTAGGGTCCCATCTCGGCGTACCTCGAGGTTTTTTTTAGCATTTTCATTAAAAGATACGTAGTACCTGTTATTTTCATATCAGTTTGCTTTAAGGTAATAATTCGTATGTATTCGTATTTTTAAACTGAAATTCCATTTGATTTTAAATCTTAATTAATTGGGGATAGAGTTCAAAATCAACTGCGTAAACACGACATTTAACCTGATATGCAACTGTATGTTCAGCTATGAAATTTTACGTTTGTACAGTTAATGGGGGATACTTGCACCCGTGGCTGTATGTTCTGTTCGGTGAAGACATCACGTGCGCCCCCACCACTTGACCCGCATGAGCCGGCCAACACAGCGCGAGCCATCAACCAGTGGGGGCTCGGATATATCGTGCTCACATCCGTGGACAGAGACGGTTATTATACTATTTTTATATATATTGATGGTATTTTGATGAGAAAGTAATATGCGTAAACAACATCCACTAAATTATACGGTATTTCTTCAAAGCAATAAATGTTAATCAAAATGGTAACTCAATAGTATATTTCTATCACACCCAAAACGTGAATTAATTAAATTTTCTCTATAGAAAATATGATAAAGTTCACAATTTTTTTTATTATTTGTTGTTGTAATTATACCCGTTTTACAGGGGAATTGAAAAATATCTTCCAATAATAATAAAAAATATGTAATTTAAATTTACGAGTAATTAATTTATATTATATTTTTCTTTACGCTGTTGTTTACGCTGTTGCTGAAATACTTGTTACGTCTTTAAATGTTAATAAAATTGACACATGAATTGACATCTAGAGTTGTAAACACATTACATTTCCATCAAAGAATCAAGCTGTCGAATGTCAATAAATTAGTTTTCATACTACCCTCAAATCTCCAAGAACTTTTCAAACCACCCTCGTATATATATATATTTAAAAAAAATTGTATGTCTGTCTGTCTGTTTGTTGTGGCTAATCTTTGAAACGGACTCGACCGATTTTGACGGGACTTCCACTGGCTGATAACTTATGTAATAAGCGGTATGTTATGTTATGTTATGTTATGTTGTGCGGCGGGCTTTTCCGCAACTCGACACCTTGTGCCTATTTTGCGTGAATGATGGGGTTGCATCAGTCCTGCCACCCCAGCTCCTCCAGGAAGCCCATGAGTCCTTTAACTTTGCCGCAAGCCTCCTTTAATGTCTGTGGGCTACCCAGATGTGTAGTCCTATGTCCTGAAACGCCCCTGCATTCCAGTAGTACGTGAGCGCTTGTCTCTTCAGCGTCCAGGCATGCCCTGCACAGAGAACTGTCAGAGATACCCATGTTATATAAGTGTTTGTTAAAATAGCCATGACCAGTTAGTATACCTACTATTAGTCTCAACGTTTGTCTAGGTAGTTTGATTAACTTACGTGCCAGTTGCAGGTCTACCTTGGGGATTGCTTCTTTGGCTTGCCTGCAGTCAGTCGTTTGAGTCCAGTATTCGTCGTGTTGTCTGTGACAGCGTTCTCTTACCCAGTTTCTCAGCTGTCGAAATGGAATGGGTATAATGGGTTCCGGTCCAATGGGCTTTCTGCTTGACCCTTCTCTGGCCAAGCTGTCTGCCGCGTCATTTCCTCTTGACCCGCTGTGCCCCTTAATCCATTGTAAGGTCAGTTTATTTCTTATGCATACCTCTGTCAACTTACAGTGACATTCGTGCAGTAGACCTGATGTCATCATATTGTTATTTAAAGCTTGTAATACCGATGCGCTATCAGAGAGAATACGGATATTTTTACCTTTTACTCTCCGGATTATAATTGCCTCAGCAGCCATTAATATACCCACGCATTCAGCCTGGAATATTGTGTTGTAGATTCCCAGTGCCGTGGATATGTGGATATTTAGATCCTCCGAGAAGACACCAGCACCAGTACCTATGTCAGTTTTAGAGCCGTCCGTAAAGATCCTTAGCTCTTTGTAATAAGCGGTAACTTAGGTTACTAATAGTTATATATAAATTATGCGGTACGATATGACTTTTTTCTAAATGTCGCCATTGTTATGTTTGATCTTCACTCACACTAGCGCTACCTGGTGGAAACAAAAGCGGACGTCACTGATATTTTTGCTACGATTTTCTTCTTATAAATAATCTTGCTATTTTATACCATAATTTGTTTTAACTTAATTGTTAATACTAATATTTCCACATGCATACAACTTCTAACATCAGCATAGGTTTAAATATGTTTTCTTATGCTTCTGCTTCAATATATTGACTGTGTGTGTTACGACCATCGAATATTATAATACAGTTGAAAATATTTCTTTGCAGATCTGGCCGATGGCGGCTCAACACATTTCGCCGAGACTGTGAAGGAAATCAAGAGACAGTTAGTAGTTTTTATTGATATTCATATTTGTAAGTTAATAAATAACATTTAGATCAATTTTAACTCTAACATAAAGCTATTATATAGTATTAACAGCCAAATACAGATTAAAATAAAAAATAACAAAGAAAAGTAAAATAAAAAAGAATGATGCAAAAAATCTTACATTTTTGTCAATTTTTGTAAGCATTGCAATTTATTGAATTTTAAGAAATGTTTAGTGGGATAAAAAGTATCCTGTTATTAATACTCTATCTGTAAACCAAATTTCATCAAGATCCGTTCAGTAGTTTCGGCGTGATTGACGGATAAACATCCAAACAAAGAAACTTTTACATTAAAATATTAGTGGGATTAAGGCTGGAATGAAAATATAGCCATGGGAGCTCCATTAAGATTTAGCTCTTAATTGCAAAAATAGACTTTATTGCCCTTGTTTAACATAAGATTTCGAAACTGATATTTGTTATCTATATTATATATAAAAATGAATCCATATTTCCCTTGGTTCCGTGTGAACGGCTGGACCGATTTCGCTAATTCTTTTTTGTTATGTTTATTATTGTCAGGAGAATGTTCTACTTGTGAAAGTAAAAAAATAGAATATTGTGTGGAAAATTTGGAAACTTAAGAATATTTAAACACCATATAAAACAATTTCTGATCTAACCTAAATAAATATGAACTTTTTAATGTAACCTTATGACGTTTAATATAGAATAGACAGAATGCGTGCTGCAAATATTAAAATTTATTTAATAATGCAGGACAACGTCTGTCGGATCAGCTAGTAAATAATAATAATGCTCAAATGTAACTGGTTCGTGTTTAGGAACAGTGAAATCCTAGTGGAATGTTTGGTGCCGGATTTCCGCGGCAACCGTGAGAGTATCGGACGTGTGGCATTATGCGGTCTGGACGTGTTCGCTCACAACATAGAGACTGTCGAACGACTCACGCCTTTTGTAAGAGATCCCAGAGCAGGGTATGTAAACATCTACTTTATTATTAAGTAGTGTAATGTCATAAGGGGACATCTAATAATTCTAGCTGATTGGAGTTGCGGTAACACTAAAAAAGTTCAGTGATTGAATTAAGTAGTTTGTTTAATAATTTTGGTGTTATAGTTTATGTACGTAACTGTGAGATGCCCGACTTCGATAACATTCGGTTACATGATATCTATAAATTTTTTTGATCACCCATCCTATGACCTGTCTTTGCGAGAGTTGTTAAACTTCCGCATCGTAGACCGAATGCGCTAACCACTGCGTCATCGGACTCCTCTATTTGTAATCTCGAACTTTTCAGTGCTTTCCACGTTAAGCCGTTGTTTCTGGACCCACCAATGCGCAAAAGAACAAGCGTGGTGGGTCATAGGCCATTCTCCCTATTCAATTCGATTCCATCCATAGGGAAAGTATGTGCCCCGCAGTAGGGCACATACTTTCCCTATGGATGAAAATGATACTGATTTTATTACATAAATATTTATATTATTTTTCTATGAATGAAAACATCCATATTCGTAATTTATTTTGCGCGTATAACTATATATCTTGTTAACTTACTCAATTAGATAGTTATATGGTTTTTAGGGTTCCGTACCCAAAGGGTAAAACATGAACCCTATTACTAACATATGGCTGTCTGTCCGTCTGCCACCAGGCTGTATCTCATGAACCGTGAAAGTTAGACAGTTAAAATTTTCACAAATTATATATTTATTTTGCCATTTCAACAACAAATACGAAAAATAAAATAAATATTTAAGGGGGCAATAACACGTTTCCGGTACGGAATCCTTCGTGCGCGAGTACGACTCGCACTTGGTTTTTTAGTTATCAAAGTGTCTATATTTGGATTCCGAAATACTAATATGTATTTTGTATAACCGTAAAACTAAATCTAGGAACTTCTACACCCAATCAGTATTCGCAACACCTGCTGTGTACCGTCCGCACACAAATTCACATCTGAAAATGGCAACAAACCTCGCAAAATCACCACTCGTTTCGCCCTTCCACGGAGCATCCCCAGGTTTCACGGTTACAGCAATGGGCTTGCGCAAAATAACGTCAGATTCTATTAAATATTTTTATTTGACCAGTCATCCATTGATCAGTCTTAATAGAAGTTCTGAATATCTGCAATTCTGCATTTCTGGAATAAATTTATGAAGTGTAATAAATGCAAATAACCTTATCATAGAAATAATTAATGATTGCTCAATAGGCATGGCGAATGAGTTTAGGTTAATAGAATCAACATTAAAAAGAGCTAAAGTGTCCCAACCAATTCACTATTTTGTTTTTATAGTAAAGTAAGACCACTGAAATGAAAAAATGCGTGACCGTTTCTGCTTTCTGTAATAACATTACAATAGCGTTCGAAGTGAGAGAGAAAATAAACAACAGAGTCCGGAACCCCATACTAGACAAAATCAATTTTGTTTTGGTAATATACAATGCTTATCTATAAGTTTACACACATATTAAGTATTTTAATAGTAAGGTCGTATTTTAATACAAACCAATAAACAACATATCTAAAAATAAATAAATAAAGAAAATTGATTGTTTTTTGCTGACCTTACTTAAGGTTTTGTCTACAAGAAATTGGCAATATCTAATATATATTTTTAGGTGATATTCGTTAGCCAACGAATGATATTTGTAGGTGATTTAAAATAATTAATATACTTGTAAATTATAACTTTATGTTCCAGTTATCGGCAAACTCTGAAAGTGTTGGAAACTGCTAAAGAGATCAACCCAGAGTTGGTCACCAAGTCATCTATTATGCTGGGTCTTGGTGAAACCGACGAACAAGTAGAGCAGACAATGAAAGGTAAATGACCTCACTTTTATAAACTTTTTTTTATAAGTGGAAATAATAGGGATGATTACTAATTTTTGTTTGTTTGTCCGTCAGGTAGAGTGTTAAAAAATATTAAACACGTATATTTTATTTTTTTCGTAATCATAAAATAACGGCGTTACATTGAGTTGAAATTTCTCATGACGTCACGTTAGAGTACGTTATTACTCAACTGTGACGTAGCGAGCCCCCACTCCTCAACTTAAATGCCTGTTATCTATACTATTTCTTGTTAAATTGAAGTAAAAAATAATACGTATCTAATATTTTTCTGTTATCTGACTGACGGACTAAATAGAATTGCATTTTTTTTACCCAGTCATCATCCCTATTTGATGGTATATTAACGACTGCAGATGCAGCCGTGCTTTACGTGCCTTCCGGAGCACGAAGGAGCGTGAGATATTAAGGTTTTTCGTCACCCATCCAAAGATTGCCCTTGCGAAAGTTCTTTAATATTCGCATTACAGGACGAACGTGCTACCTACTGCGTCATTGCGCTTCTCACCTTTAATATTTTTTGTGGGTAGATTCGATTTTATAGAAATCTAGACATCATTACTTTTAAAGCATGTCACTAGATGGCACTTTGAATAAAAAATAATTATTTGTGCTTGGTGGCAACAACTTACTGTATTCAATTGATATTTGTTTTTAGTTTGTGAATACATCTTCTACAAATATACAAAGACATTTTATGGATATCTATAATATACAGTGGCATTTACATGGCATGAATTCCGTATTTATTTTTTCATCACCAGTGTATTAATGTCACCACTGCTGGGGCTCAGGCCTTCTCTATGAATGGAATCGAATACGGAGAAAGGGCATGACCCACCACGCACGCCCAGTGCGAATTAGTGGGGGGTATTAACGACTGCAAATGCAGCTGGGACCAACAGCTTAATGTGCCTTCTCATCACCCATCCTATGATCGGCCATTACGAAAATTGCTTAACAACCGTATCGCAGACCAAGCGCGCTAATCACTGCACTATCGAGCTCCTCCTCTTTTTATTTACTTTGCATCTCTATAATCGAAAAGGATGCATTTTCACATTTTATTTCAATTTTAGATCTCCGCTCGGCTGGCGTTGACTGTGTGACTCTTGGCCAATATATGCAGCCCACTAAAAAGCATCTCAAAGTATTCGAATACGTGACCCCAGCGAAATTCAAGCAATGGGAAGACAAAGGCGGTGAACTCGGTTTTCTCTATACTGCTAGTGGCCCCTTAGTACGCTCCTCGTACAGAGCAGGCGAATTCTTCATAACGAGTCTGCTACGAGACAGAAAAACTGGTCGTCAATGATCGCGAGATGGCGTTGTCTAATGTTAACATTAGATAACGCTCTATGTAGTCCTTCTTTGATAAGATACTAGATGGCATTGTTCATTATTTTAGGACGTTGTAAAATAAATTTCCTCTAATAGTAAAATTGTGACAGGAGATTAGATGATGGTGTTTTAGTCTTAGATAGGTGGGTGTTAGACGACATAATTCATATTTTGCTTTTAGTTTTCAAATATTAATAATCTTGTACAGAAATAGGTCTGTATGTTTAATAACAATGACAACCATAATTATTTTTATAAATATATTTATTAACATAATAATAATGTAAGCTTTGTAAGTACCTGAAATCATTTTTATTATTTGTAAATAATGGCAATTATAGATGACTAAATTATACATAGCTAAAATATACTCGTATGTAATCTCGTCACATTGTATTGTTATTTATTTTGTTAATGTTGTTGAATAAATAGATTTTTTGAGCATTTTCCATGATTTTATTAGTTTCCCTGTAGTTATTTTTTACTCTGATGAGCACAGAAAATCATTTTCTAAATTTTGCAACGCTTCAAAATGAAGAAAACAGAATTCGTCCGTCCTAACGGCCGGCGGTGACAGTCAGTATAAATCTCTGTTCATTAAATAAGTCCTATATTCCTCTTAGAGTAGTTTTCTTATAAGCAAATGGTAAGAGCCAAATATTTTCTAACACAAGTATAACTTATTATTGAGTAGTCTCATGTAATAATTATTGTTAAAAAATTTTGGAAAAGTATAGTTAATAAACAAAGATACCTAATTATAATCATCCCTCAATAAAAACCGAGGACGATACTAATTAATGTGCTCTTTAATATAATTTTCGGCTCCGCTGAAAATTTTCTTTGGAGACGAATAGGACGTCTTGAAATTGACTAAAATAACTAAAATCAATTTCAAACCCAGTTACTAGGAATCTTATTTTAGTTTTTTCCCCGGCATTCGGTTGTTTCAATTCTGGCGTACCTGTCACGCACGACTGCGTTGCATTGGGGCCGAAAAAAACCAACGCGCCGCCCACTGAATACAGATAATGTATCTAATTTACCTCATGACTTGTACTGAATATTGTGATGTACGAAGTTTTGATGCGGCAATTAGAAAAGTTGCCACGTATTGCCTTTAAACGTATTTAAAAATATGGTAATTCGTCGTATATTTTTAGATGGAGTCAGCTCATTTATTGCGGCTGCACTGTTATGCGCAAAAGCTAATTTAGCTTATGTTTGAACCATATACGCAAAATTGGTAATTTTATATTGAACAACTAAATAAAGAGAAACGAGATTGGCAAGAGTTGGTAAGATGTGTGAACGAGTTTGCTTACTTGTGAATCAGGGTTAGTTTTTAAAACAAATTATCGTGCGATTGAACATCAAATAATTTTGTGTAATAAGTATGAAATGAACTAGAAAATTACTCTAGGATCTAGAGTAACATGTGCTGACGTTACAGCATGCAGAGTATAGATAAACTCCCTAGTATATGTGTCTATGACTTCTTACTGACTGTTTCAAAGTAGTATAGTACATAATTAATGATGAATAAAACTTGATTATACCATATCCATCTCGACAGTCTTCAGTCAAATTCCTTCCGAACTCCGTATGTTCGTTGCACGTACGGTCAGCAAACGGCGCGGCGTGTGTGCGGTCCGGGGCTTTTTGCGCGTTCGTGCGGCTGTAACATGGCTCAGGGGTCAAAATTAAGGCGTTAGATATACAGAAGAAACAACCCTCCTTTGTTTACTTGATCAACTATAGGTATCTTTTTAGACCGTACTTAAGTAGGTACACATACGTATTTATTACTGGCATCTATTAAAATGACAATCAATTTGATTAGTCTTATTTATTTATGATAAATTTTGCAATGGCAATCGCATATATGTACAAAATATGGTTTTATGTGATGTGGACATAGACTCAGAAAGCCAATGTAAAATAGTGTTGGTAATGTTTTAATAATATTTTATAAACATCTGTTTTATAAACATTACTTCTTCTTATTTTGAGGCTTGTAACTTGCTATTCATTAAACAGTTTGTAAGCAATTATGTAATTCAAGTAGTCAGCACCCAAATAAAATAAAATCCTTATACAAATATAAAAACGTTTTGTTATGCGAACACCGTGTTTTTCTTTCTTTCAAATATAAAGTAAAAGCGTTAATCGCAGTAAATAATTTCCATTCGTGAGGCGGCGGGACGCATTGCACAGTTCCCACACCGCTCATCACGTATGCGCGGCTCTGAATTTTGAGCAGCGCGTATTCAACGCAAACATGTCCTAGTAAGCCTTTACAATGCGCATTTTATTGGGATGAAAATATTCCAATGAGGTTAGAAGTGCCGCTCGTTGCAAAAATCGAATCGTTTGGTGCCACGTTCGGTGCCAAAATAACAAATGGCGCCCAAACTGTAGGTACCCTTTTACGAGTTTCATTCAATAAATCAACTTAGTTTACGAATCATCATTCGTTAATTACAAACTATAATAAATAATAATAATTAATTACCTGAACATTAACTATGTCATTGCTATGGACTTGTGATAAGAAGATATGAGATGCACGTAATAAACAGTTGAGGAAGGAAAAACAGTTGAAGAAGAGGAAGACCGAAGATGAGTACACTGAAAAATGATGTGTTTAATAAAAGTGAATGTTGATAAGATGGTTGATGAAGACGTATGGAAGAAGAAAACATCGCCGATCCCAAATTAATAATAGGGGAAAAAGCAAATGATAACGTACAAATAATTAGAAATTGTACGGTAGATTAGTTGGTTTAGTTTTCTGTACACTGTGCTCTTTTACAATTAATGATACATTGTTGCTAAAATTATTCGATTTAATTTCAAATAAAGCGACGCAATACTTAATCGTTTATGTAATTCAGATACCTATCTATTTCGTTAAGAACATTAATGTTATATTGTTTCGCACTACCGCTCATCAGATATTGATGAATGTAGTTTGAATTTGACAGTTGAATATGTTGGAACTAACATTCCGTCTCGTCGCGTCTGTCCCTAAGAAATTCATGAATGCTGAGTGGTGAGATCGTGAATCATTCTGTGCTTTTTACGCTTAGTACTGTGAGATGACTATGTTGATATTTCATAATAGCACTCTATGCAAAAGTCGTCTGATGGAATTTTTAAATAGTCTATTAATACCGATTTCAAAAGTGAAGGAGCTTCACAATTTCACTGAATTTTATGAGGTTGCGCACCTGAAAAGGAAAAAAAACGGAAACACTTTCTCAAATGCAGTCTAGAAATATTCGTATTAAGAGTAAGCTCGATGGGGCAGTGGTTAGTGGTTAAAGCACGTTAAGCCGTTGTTCCCGGCTGCATCTAGAGTTGTTAACACCCACTAATCCGCACTGACCCCGCGTGGGTCATGGCCATGGTTCATTCTCCATATTCGATTCGATTTCATCAATAGGAAAGGCCTGAGTCCGAGCAGTGGGGATATTAATAGGCTGGAGGGACGATGATGTGTGAATTTACACTTAAAAACAGTGTTGTTTATTTAATATCGAGCGTGAAACTAATTTGAAAAAAATGTCCTCTGTTATTGACTCTGTTAGCAATACTCAAAAGCAGCTAAACACTATTGTTACAATGATCTTAGTAAAATTGATTTGGGTCTTTAACCGATTTCCAAATCGAAAAGGAGGTATGTTATATATGTTCGACGGCGAAATATTTTTTTATGTATGTTAATTGTTAACCGATTTTCAAAATTCTTTTTTTATTCGACAGCTAAAATGATCGAGGTGTTCCGATTTAATTTTATCGCAATTAAATCCGTAGTTGTCCTTTTAAAATACGCTTTTAACCAAATATCACCCAAATGTTTAGTGAATATGGTAAGAAATGGCCCTCTCCAGCAAAAAAACAAAAATTGCGTATTTGGAAGTCATTTAACATTCGGAATTCGGGCGCCTATTATTTAATTAATAACCTACAGAGGCCTTGACCTCCGCCCACCCGATTTCAATAGCGTTGAGATAAGAATTATTTATCATTTTTTTAAAGTTTGAAGGCGAAGGAGTTAAAGTTTAAATTTTTTTAAAGTTTTATTTTGTGCTTTTTAGTGATATTGGTATTTCTTTAAAAAATAGGTAACACATAAATATATTAAATATCTATAGGGAGACTGAGGGACACTTGATCCTTACGGGAGACTAGATACAATGGATTTACAGAGCTTCTGTAAACACTATATAATTTTAGACTGGCAAAATTTGTAGTCTATAGGTCGTTTTCCATTTCTAAAGTTAGCATTCCTGTAAAATTTGACAGTTGTGCAAATGGCGGATGTTTATGTGTTTCGTGTTGCAGAAAAATATTTTTTCTATGTTTTTACTTTGATTAAATAATTGGTTAGTAAACTTATTTTGGATATGTATCACTTTTAAACTAGTCGTTATTTATGTGTTTATACACCTGTTTTCAATAAAAAGTGTTAATATTGGTAGATTTTTGTACAATCTTTTTTTATAACCTCAACATACCCAGGGTACACATGGTACACTTTCTTATGGGAGATATGGTCTCACCAGATCAATGGGTCCTAACTTTAAAACAAAAAAATTTAGGATTAAATATGCCTAGAGTATATAAAAAAGAGAAGGTGCAAGAAAAAGAATACCGATCCATAAGAAACTCTTGGAGTTGACTGTTAATGATATTATAGGGGTAAGAGTATTCGTGGTACACTCTAAAGATATGTTAGAAAGAAGAAAAATGCTACGACCGAAAATATTGACTACACTCCAAACTATAGCCAGTTACAAATTTTTTCGTCAACTGAAGAGACAGAACTTGACGAAACTGGTATTACTATAAATCATAAGCCAAAAAATTGAAGCACCTCGTGTGTTCATAAGTTTCGAGACAAACTTTTTACTGAAAAAATAAAACAAAATGTTACTGGCTGTTATTTTTTTTTGCCGATTTTGAATTTGGACTGTTAACCTTTAGTTTATTTGTATCGCAAAGGAGAATGGGCAATTTACTATGAGACATCGGCTATTTTTGCGTAACCGTGCACATTGTTGAAACCAACGGTAAACGATAGAGAATTATTTCTAGAATGAGTAGCAAAAAATCAATTTTTAAATTATGCCGGAGTTTTAGAATATCTGAATATTTAACAGAGATTTTGAGGTTATGTCGTTATAATATCTACTTATATAAGAGCAATAAAATGAATAATGTACAATATTTCAAACAATCGATGACTAACAGATATAAATATTCAATTGCAAAAAAGGACATATCTATACCTGTATTATAAAAAGGAAATATTGGATTTTATATTGTAAAGTATAAACTCAAAAACAACTGGGCCGATTAAAAACTAGTCTTTGACTAATATAATACCTGACCAACATTATCAGAGTTAAAATACTTCATTTTTGTAAAAGTAGTGGTA